CCTGGGATCGAGCCCCGCATCGGGCTCTCTGCTCAGCGGGGAGCCTGCTTCCTCCTCTGTCTCTGCCTGTCTCTCTGCCTACTTGTGATCTCTGTCAAATGAATAAATAAAAAATCTTTAAAAAATAAAAAAATAAAAAAATAAAAAAAATAAATACGTTGGTGGAGTAGGAAGTACCAGCAACCTGTCTCTCCACTTAGACAACAATTACATCTGCCTAATATAATTATATTGAAACTCTAGAGTCTACTGGGGGCTTGCAACTTCCAGGGGAAGGCTTGGAGAGTAAATTTGGACTCTTTCAGTCAGTTTTGGCTCTTAGTAGCAGGTTTCATTTCCTCACACACCACCCCCCACAACATGGCAGGCACCTGTGCACATGTTCTTGGAGTAGCTTACACAGAGTTTGCAGCAACCTATGTAGCCAAAAAGGAACATGTCCTCCAAATATCAGGGATCTGTGCTCTGTTTGCCTATTGCTTCTTTCTTTAAAAAAAGTATTTTATTTATTTATTTGAGAGAGAAAGCAAGAACAGAGAGAGCACAAGCAGGGGGAACAGCAGAGGGAGAGAGAGAAGCAGACTCCCTCCTGAGTAGGGAGCTGCAAGCAGTACTTGATCCCAGGACCCTGGGAACATGGCCTGAGCCAAAGGCGGATGCTTCACTGACTGAGCTCCCCAGGCGCCACAGCCCATTGCTACTTCTCCAAGTTGCAGACAGAGAGGTGGCTGGCCACTGCCATACCTACTCCTGTTGTTTGCCAGCCCCTCCCCCAAAAGCTGAAGTGACTTCCGATGGGTTTAAATGACTGGTGCCCTTCCCTCCCACTTTCACTTTTCTTTATTCCCCTTTTGGGAGCCAGAAAAGAAAGACCAAGGTATTAAAAATCAATTGCATATATGGGAAAAATCAAAAAATGGTTATGCATGCCCAAAAGACATAGCCCAAGAAAAAGACTTGAGAAGACCTTAAGTTTATGCCTCAGGCTGATCCTTGGCACAGACCCAGCCTATAATTTAAAAAACAAAACAAAAGAAAAACCCAGAAAATCCTGGGGGAAGGGGGAAAATCTGCTCTCCAAAGTTATCACATTATTAAATTCAAATGTCCAGTTTTCAACTAAAAATCACAAGGTACACAAAAAAGTAGGAAAGTATGGCCCATTCAAAAGAAAAAAATAATCAACAGAAACCATTCCTGAGAAAGCCTTGATTGCAGATCTACTAGACACAGAATTTAAAACAACTGTCTTTAAAATGCTGAAAGAACTAAAGAGAGATGTGGAGAGATATGGAGAAGGTCAAGAAAATGGTAGATGAACAAAATGGAAATACAAATAAGGAAATTGAAATTGAACCTCAGAAGAAACCAGAAAGAAATTCTGGAGCTGAAAAGTGTAATAACTGAAATGAAAATTTCACTCTAGAGATTCAAAGGCAGAAGAAAAAAAATCAACAAACTTTACGTTGAAGAAAAGTAAACAGAGCTTAAGGGACCTGTGGGACACTGTCCACTGGGCCAACTTATGTATTATGAGAATCCTAGAAGGAGAAGAGAGAATATTTGAAGAACTGGTGGCTAAAAACTTCTTTAATTTGATGAAAAACAATTTGATGAAAGACATGAATACAAACATCTAAGATCCCCTGTGAACTCTCAAGTAAGATGAACTTAGACCCATACCACAACACGTCATAATCAGATATTTGAAAGGCAAAGACAGAGAGAGAATCTTGAAAGCAGCAAGAGAGAAGCAATTTGTCACATACAAAGGCCCATCAATAAGATTAGCATATTTCTCATCAGAAACTTTGGAGGCCAAAGGCTGTGGGCCAATACATTCAAAGTGGTAAAAGGAAAAAAAGCCAGAAACCTGTCAATGAAGGGTCCCATATTTAGTAAAACTGTGAGGAAGAGGGTGCCTGGGTGGCTCAGTCGGTTAAACCTCTGCCTTTGGCTCAGGTCATGATCTCAGTGTCCTGGGATCAAGTCCCGCATCGGGCTCTCTGCTCAGCTGGGAGCCTGCTTCCTCTCTCTCTCTCTGCCTGCCTTTCTGCCTACTTGTGATCTCTCTCTGTCAAATAAATAAAATCTTTAAAAAAAAAAGGTGAGGGAGAAATTAAGACATTCCAAGATAAAGCTGAGGGAATTTGTTACCAGTAGACATGCTCAGTAAGAAATGTTCAAGGGCATGTGACATAGTGAAATGAAAAGACACTGGGCAGTAACTCAAAGCCATGTGAAGAAATACAGGTCTCAGTAATGGTAAATATGTGGACAATTATAAAAGCTAATATTATAACAATGGTTTGTAACTTCACGTTTTGATTTCTGTACGATTTAAGAGGCCAATACATTGTTAAAGATAATTCTCAATCTACTGACATTATTGCAACTCTGGTTTTTATTTATTTATTTATTTATTTTTAAGATTTTTATTTATTCCTTTGACAGACAGAGATCACAAGTAGGCAGAGAGGCAGGCAGAGAGAGGGGGAAGCAGGCTTCCCGCTGAGCAGAGAGCCCGATGTGGAGCTCGATCCCAGAACTCTGGGATCATGACCTGAGCCAAAGGCAGAGGCTTTAACCCACTCAGCCACCCAGGCGCCCTGTAACTCTGGTTTTTAATTCCACATTTTGTTTTCTATATAATTTAAGAGACTAATGAATTTAAAAGAATACCTAGTTTATGTTCTTAGGTGACAGAATGCATAAAGATGTAATTTTGTGATATCAACAATCAAAAGATGCAGGGATAGCGCTGAAAAGGAGCAGGTTTTTCAGTGTTGAAGTTAAATTGGAATACATTCAAATTAGGAATGTGAGTAAAATCTCCATGGTAACCACAAAGAAAATAGCTATAGAATATGCACAAAAGGAAATAAAGGAATTTAAACACTTCACTACCAAAAAAAAAAAAAAAAAAAAAAAAATTGGCTGAACACAAAAGAATTCAGTAATGCAGGAAACGAAGGACAAAAAGTTATAAGGCATATGGAAAACAAATAACAAAATGACAAAAGTAAGTCCTTCCCCCGCCAACAGTAATTAGTTAAAACCTAAATGGATTTAACTCTCCATTCAAAAGACAGATTGGCAAAAGGGATTAAAAAAAAACATGATCCAACTATATGCTGTCTATAGAAGGCTCACCTTAGATCCAAAGACACAAATGGATTGAAAGTCAAAGGATGGAAAAAGATAACCCAGTGCAAACAAAAGTAACCAACAGAGAGCAGGAGTGGCTATACTAATATCAGACAAAACCAACTTTAAAACCAAAAAGTTTATAAGAGCAAAGAAAGGCATTATATATTATTAAAAGGTTCAGTACAGCAAGAAGATATAGCAATTATAAACATTTATGTACCTAATGACAGACCATCAAAATAGATGGAGCAAAAATGGACAAAATTGAAAGGAGAAATAAATAGTTCTGTGATCAAAATTGGGGACATCAGTCCTCTACTCTCAATAATGGGTAGAACAAGCAGACAGAAGGTAAGTAAGGAAATAGAGAACTTGAACACCACAAGAAATTAGATCTAATAGACCTACACAGAACACTCTCCAACAACAGAATACACATTCTTGTTGAGTGTACATGGGGCATTTTCCAGGATAGACCATATGTTGGGCCTCTAATTAAGTCTCCGTCAATGGTAAAAATACACCGTACAAAGTATCTTCTTTGACCATAATCAGATGGAGTTAGAAATCAATAACAAAGCAGGAAAACTTAACAAATTTGTGGAAATTAACACTCGTAAGTAGTAGATCAAAGAAGAAATCACAAAGGAAATTAGAAAATAGCTAGAGATGAATGAAAATGAGAATACAACATAACAAAACTTAGGAGATGTAGCACTAAAGGGAATGTTACAGCTATAAACACATTACAAAACAAGAGGGATCTCAGATCGAAACCTAACTTCTAACAATTTAAGGATCTAGAAAAGAACAAATTAAACCCAAAGGCTAGCAAAAGAAAGGCAATAATAATGATTAGAACAAAGATAAATGAGATAGAGAATAGGAAATAATAGAGAAAATGAAACCAGAAGGTGGTTCTTTGAAAAAAATGAACAAAATTGCCAAACCTTTAGCTAGAGGGACAAAGAAGAAGGAGAAAAGACTCAAATCACTAAAGTCAGAAATGAAAAAGACATTAGTATAGGTTCTACAGAAGTAAAGACTGTGAAAGAGGACTGTGAAAGATTGCATGTTAGCAAACTGTATCACCAGATGGTAGGGATGAATTCCTAGAAACACAGAACACACCAAGACTAAATCACATAGAAAAAGGAAATTTGGGCACCTGGGTGGCTCAGTGGGGTAAAACCTCTGCCTGCACTTCAGGTCATGATCTCAGAGTCCTGAGATCGAGTCCCGCATCGGGCTCTCTGCTCAGAAGGGAGCCTGCTTCCCCCTCTCTTTCTGCCTGCCTCTCCCTACTTGTGATCTCTCTCTCTCTCTGTTCAAATAAATAAATAAACTCTTTAAAAAAATGTAAAAGAAAAAGGAAATTTGAGTACAGCTATACCTAGTAAGGAGATTGAATCAGTAACTAAAAATCTACCAACAGAGAAAAGCTCTGGACCTGACGGCTTCACTGGTGAATTCTACCAAACATTTAAAAACTAAAACCAGTCCTTCTCCCATGTGACTGCAAGGTCACTTTGTGAGAATCCTTCCCAGACAGCAGCATGGCCTTTCTGAAGAGATAGTTGAAGGCCTCCAGGGCATTGCTGCTTAGGGCCCCACATACATCCGTAGGTCCTCTTGAGCCCTGAGCTTGGGCACGCAGGCCCTACAAAGACAGATTAAAAGCCGAACGGTGGTGAGGGTCCTAGTGCTCCATCTGCCACGTGTGGGCCCAGTTTGGCTGGAGCCCCTTTACACCATCCAGCATCACCCTTCTCAGGAAGAGCTGAAGCTGCTTTAGAGCCCGGACTAGGTTATGGGTGTCATCTTAGGTTATGGAGAGGATGACAGAATCATAGTCATTCCTGTGTAAGAGACACCTGCCACCAGGCTCCTTTAATCCCTATAGCCACGGGTGAAGGAGGCGATTTTCTCCCTATCTTACAGATGAGGAAACAGACCCAGAGACACGAACCAGTCTTCCCTGTCAGAGCCAGTACTTGAATGTGGGCCTGTTGGCCTCACGAGTCCACTGTCCCTCTGTAACTTGCTCCTCCTTGCTCAGCACTACACACACAGTAGGTGTTCAGGAAGTCTTTATTGAATGAATGTTGGAGGGACAGCCTGGAAACCAGTGAAGGTGACAAGTTTTTCAACAGTAAACTGGGAGGGAGAATGAGAGGACAGGGCCACTAGAGGTCAGAATTTAACAAGTCTTCGTTAGCTCTGGAGCACTGCTTGAGATGGTGTCTGACCCTGAGAGCTGGAAAGGACCCCAGAGGTACCCACACCCCCTTCACAGTCCCTCCCCCTCCTCATTGGTGAGAAAACTCGGCCTCAGAGATGCTGTAAGTTGCCCAAGGCCGCAGACCTGTGCCACCTCCCAGACCATGCTTTGCCCAACACCACGATACCTCTTTAATCACCTTCCTGGGGCCTCAAGCGTTTTGTTCTCTGAAAACATTTGGTGACTGTGTGGAACAGCAGGGGTGCCAGATGCTGGGGAGACAGAGGCCAAACCTGGCCCTGCATAGGGCTTGAAGTGAATCTGGGAGGCTGTTTTCTGTAATGATGTTTGACTTTGACTCAGAGTTACAGATGCATTTTACATCATGATCTGTTACTTTATATGTACATATATATGTACAGACACACACACATATATACGCATTTATGCATATGTAAAGTTTCACAAAATAATACTTGTGCTATAATGCAATGCATTTTGTAATTTCCTTTTCCTGTCTTTCTTAATCTGTTGGTAAGGAAACAATTGCTGATCACAACCCATTACGTTGATTTCATGACCCTCTCTAATGGTCACATCTTCACTGTGCATTCCACTACTGTGAATCATTGATTTGAACTAGGATAAAGGCTGCTAACCCTGAACTTTTCTCATTGTGTACCAGATGGTCTTAGGTGTTTTGGGGTGGAGGATAAGAGATTACTAGAACACAGCCATCATAGACAGGAATTCTTGGAAGCCTAGGCAGAGAAGTGGTGGGAGTCCCTTCTTCTCCAGGCTGTTATCTGAGTCAGGACTTATGGGAAAGGATATGGAGTCTGCCATAACCAGCTCTGCTGTCCGTCTCAAGAGGTGTCCCACCTGGAAAGCTATGGGTTCGGCACTGAATAGCACTTATACCTGTAATTGCCCTAGAGAAAAAAGATTATCAAGCACTAAAAATCCATTCAGTTATGGATAGTCCCTGAGTCAGGAGCAATCCTTGAAGGTTGAAGGCCTGAGTTTCCAAGTAGTGGGTCCACGTCATGTGGCGAAAGAAGGGGCCTAAGAACAGGGCTTTTGTTTCATTCCTGCTGGTGATCTAAACCAGTGCCTCTCCGACTCTGCTGTGCATCAGAATCGCCAGTGGATCTTGGGGAAGTGCAGGTTCTGACCCGGGAGCTGTGGAGACTTGTCCCGAGAGGGGGAGGCCACCGAGTGGGCTGAGGGTCTGACAGGAGCGCCAGGCTGAGCCCGCTGCCTCTCTCCAGCAGACGCAGAGAAGGGCTGCCACTTTCAGCACATCTTGGCCTGTGCCCGCCTGAGTGTCAGCCCAGACCTGAGCGAAGGCGTGCTGCAGCAGGTGCTGGAGCTCCTGGAGGACCAGAGCGACATCATCAGCACCACAGAACACTACTACACGGCGTTCTGAGGGGAGGCCGGCCCATGGGCTGGGCGGGGCGGGGCCGGGCCAAGGAAGAGGAGGAGCGGGTGGTGGTCACTCCTGGGCTTGGACTGTAAAGGTCACACAGAGGCTTATAGGTCTGGTGGCAGGGATCTCTTAATAAACTGTGAAATATGGTCACTTAAGGAATGGAATTTGGTGTGAATTCTGCCGTGTAGCTGCTGTATCTGTGGGATAAAGTAACTCATCTCAGTCATGACCTAGAAGAAAACCCTCCCCTTGACCTTCTCCCTGGACCGGCTGTTGCCCCTCAGAGCAGAAGGGAGGAGACAGTGTTGGCGGCTGAGTTGGTGTGTGTGTGGCTCCAGGCTCTGTCACGGTAAAGGGATGTCACGTGGTAAAGTGAAGTGAAGAGCACCTAGCCAGATCACACAGACCCAGAATGTTTCCAAACTTCAGAGCCTCTGCTCTTGTAGGCCTCTGTCAGAGGTTAGGAACCGAGTGTAGGGAACTGCTTCATGGGGGAATCCACTCACCTATGATTTCCAAGGTCGAGTACCAGAGGTGGGTCCCGAGTCCTGGGATGAATGTTGTTCACAGACCCACCCAGAGATGGGAATAAATGGACCCAAGGCATGGCCCTGTGTTGGTTGTTTTCCTTATTTTCCTTAGGAATTAAGAGGTCTCTCAGTACATTTCCCTATACTTGAGGACATACGTGACTAAATGTGTTGTCCTTTAATGCCCTGAAGTTGTTGGAGGCTCTCAGCCAGTTGCCTGGCTGCTAGGCATTATTTTCAAGGTTCCTGCTGAATGTGCAGGTCGCCCTGACACCACCCAGACAAAGACTCTGTATCTGCCCGGACAGGTGATGGAGTCCTGCTGTTACTAGGAACGGCAGGGGAAAGGGAAAAAAAAATCCGAGGTATGTGGTAGACTTGTTCTAACAGCTAAATGACAAATCCAGCCAGCAAAAATAAAGTGTGGGGAGAGATTTGGAGTTAATTACAGTCATTTCAAAAAAGCACATCTGCCTTCGTCTGCTACATTTGCTCTTGACGTCATAAGCTCTTCGTGGCTCTGCTGGAGAGCTTGCAGGCCTCAAGTTCTGCTCTATGTGGAAATGGAGTGGTTTTTATACTTAGAAGTTGGCTGCCGTTTCGTATGTCCGGCTGAGGGCTAGTACCAACAGATCGCTTCCTGTCGCCGACTTCTCTGACTTGATCCAGACATATGCCCTGTTTTTAACAGCCGTTTACCCAGATGGTTGCCCCTTGTCCTCCATGCATTTGGAAGCTTCCCCCGTGGAATGGAGTCTCCTGGAATAACACCCCAGCTGCCTTCCTTGATAGCAGCAGATGTTCCTTTTTGAATACATCTAGCCCAGGAAGGAGTCTCGAATCAGCAACCCCACTTCCAGGGTTTATCCCAAAGAGATGATCATGCAGGTAGGATAGGATGAATACACAAGATTTGCATTGCTGTGTGATCTAGAGTTCTTCATTGGGAAAAAATAGTTGCTCATGAGGAAAAGTGAGTTATGATACATGCACACAGTAAAATACTATGCAGCTATTAAGTGATGAAGAAGACAGATACTATTGCTATGTGAACACTCTTCCCAAGAAAGCAGTCACAGACCTGCTTCTATAGTATACCATTGATCTGAAACGAGTTGTATGTGTCTATCTGTAGAGAGTGTGTTTCTGTGTGTACATTGGCATAAATATGTCCCGTGTATACGCATACACACAGTTGATCAGTCCCCCCTCCTAGGAATACTTTCTGCACTCGGCTTTCCACACACTCTGGGTGCTCTCTCTCTCTTTCTCCATCTCCTTTTCCTGGTCTTCCATCTCCCTGAGGGCTTGGGGTTCAGTGTTAGACCTCATTCCTGTGCAGCTGGCTCCCTTGGAGAGCTTCACCAGTCGTGTGGCTCAGAAAATACATATGCTGACAGACTCACCACATTTTCTCCGGTTAGGACCTCTTCTGAGCTCCAGACTCCTGCCTGCGGCTTCCCACTGACATCTCCACTTCGGTGTCTGAAGGACCCCACACACGTGCCCACAGCCAGGCGCCTAGTCACCCCTGACCCAAGACTTGCTCCTTCTGAAGTTTTTCCTGATTCGGAAGAAGGCAGCCCCATCTTTCCAGTTGTGCAGACCAAACGTTCCACATCCCACCTGTCCACCAGTCACCTTGGCTCCACCTTCTAGATATTTCTAGACTCTAACCGCCTCTCACTGCTGCTCTGCTACCCGCTGGATGTTGCGGTTGCCTCCTGACTGAACTCCTGCCCCGGCCCCTCTTCAGTTCATTCTCCACATAGCAGCCAGAACGATCTGTCCAACTGAAGCCAGATTCTGCCGTCCTCTGCTCTCACTCTCCCATGACTCTCTGTCTCACTCCTGGTAGGACCGCAGGGCATCCCAGTACCAACAAGGTCCTGCTCTGCTGGGCCTCCTCTGTGCACTATGCCCCGTGCACCCACCCTGCTTAGCTTCCTGGGCCTGGGCCTTGCTGTGCCTCACACACCACCAGCATTCCTGCCTTGGGGCCTGTGTGCTTGTTTCCCCTGCCTGGAATGTTCCTCACCCAGGTAGCCATGTGATGGCCTTCCCCCTCCCCTTCTTTGGGTCTTTCCTTGAGTGTCACCCTTTCTCTAAGGCCTGCCCTGATCCCTCTTTTGCTAAGTAGAGCCAAACCCTTCTCCTTCCTTCCCAGGACTCTTTAGTACTTACTTTTCTCCACAGTACTTGCCACCATATATTTCACACATTCCATATATTTCTTCCTTGCTTGGTTTATGATCTATGTCCCCAACAGAAGAAATGTTCCTTGAGGGCAGGACTTTCCCTGTTCTGTTTCCTGCCGTGTCACCTGCACCTAGAGCAGTGCCTGGCGTATCTTTCCAGCCATACCGCTCCTGGGTACGTGTCTGGCCACAGGTGTCTTCCTTTCTTTCCTGGAGGCTTTCTCCAATGTCTTGGCAGGCTGTTCAGGCTGGCCGTGCTCAGAATTCAACCCACTGAGAGCGGCCTCATCCTGTGGGATCCGGGATATAAGTACCCCAGCTCCTTTGCCCTTCAGATGAGATCTCTGAGGCAAGTGTTCTCCACCATTTTCCAGCGTTTCTCTGTGGGATTAATCTCCGTCCACCCACCGTAGCAGCTGACTTGATAGTCACCGTTAATTGGCTGCCTTTCCCTCCCTGTCTTCCCCTCTCCCCGTTAGTATTTGCCTCACCTCCCACATGAACTGCTTCCGTTCCAGTCCTTGTCTCCTGGTCAGCTTCTGGCTGATCACAAATAACCCCATGTTCACAAGTATATTTGGGAAATGCTGTATGAATATTATATGCATCAAGCAGAGATTACTAGAAAAACCAAAGTGACCCACTTTTGCTTTTAAACAACACATCTCTATTTGATATTTTTCTAATTAGCAAGTGTCATTTCTACAAAAGTAATAAAGCTCTTTTTCACTCCCCATCCCACACTCACACAACCTGAATGATGAGCGAACCAAAAATAAGATGGGCCTTCTATCCCGTAGCAGCATAAGAACTCGGAGAGCATGAGGGGAACCTTTGGAAAATTCTCTGGGGCTAACTACAGTTGGGTCACTGCTCAGGCACTGAAGAGCCACCAAAGACTTCCCCTGAAGAAGAGGGAAACAGCCAACACCATGGCTCTCAGCGTGCACATTTCAGAAGGCATGAACACTGTGTCTAGTTTATGGAAGCAAGAAGACAAATGGTGCTACTGTCTGGTCAGGGGTTTGTTTGAAGCTCTGTGATTTTCTCCATCTGGTAAGCCACCAGTGCTTCTCGTCCCTAAGAGACACTTCTTTCTAATTATTTTCCCCTCTGATAGTGTGCCAGGGCACTGGCCAAGAGAAAGCCAAGTGGAAAGAAGTCTATTCAGTGATGAGGAACTCAAGATGTGGTGCCAACGATTGACAACCAAGCAAACTTGTAATTTTCCGTCGGGGAAAAGTATCCACACTTTCTTATTAGTGTGGTTTCTCGTCTGTAAGCGGCCTCTATAGGAGCTTCCCAAAGAAGCAGCTCATTGTTTCCTTACTAGATTAACGTGAAGCATATGGGCAGACTCCAAATTCGGGGAGCAGCAGGCGCTGAGAGGAGAATGGGACCGTCCCCAAGGGAAATGGGGCCCAGGGATGAAGAACCTTGCAGTAGAGCTCAAATTTGCATGCCATCTACTCCAAAGGCAAGCCCGAGCTTCCCCTCAAGTGAGTTTTTATGTAGTGCAGAAGTTATTTTTAAATATGGCCTATTTTTTACTGAATTTTTATTATGTAAACCCAAACAGGTGAGTCACAGCACAGCACAGGGCTGTGTTTGCAAGAATTCTAAATCAGACCCCAAATTCCTGAAGAGACTGAAGGCTTTCCATGTATGTCCAATTAAAGTACTAGGTTTTCAACTTGGAACACAAAGAGAGGAATTTTGAAGACCGCATAATAGTCTTTTTAGATAGTAAAGTGGCATGTCATTAACTCAGACTGATTGGGTGAAAGGTTTATGTAAATTAGTGAAAATCTGGAAAGAGTGCTATTTTATTACTTTACGTCTATGTTCCATATGTTCCATATGTTCCGTATGACATCTGAAATAGTATGGGCTAACAGATTGGCTGCTCTTAGAAACCTGTTTAATGAATAAAAATTATTTTAATTATGTATCATTTAATTATTATATGTTTTATGCTGTTCAAATATTAATAGGTGATTTTAAAGTTCTTGATCTTAAGAGATTTGAGAACATGTCCACACAAAAAATTCTATGTCAGTGTTCACAACACTATCATTCCTAATAACCAAAAAGGAAAAACAACCCAAATGTCCATGAAGTGTTGAATGGATAAACAAATGTGTGTCTCTGTGATGGAAAATTGTTTAACCACACAAAGGAATGGAGTCCTGAAATATATTCCATGGATGAACCTTGAAAACATAACAAGTGAAAGAGGCCAGATACTAGAGGCCACATAATGTATGATTCCGTTTATAGGGAGTGTCTAGAATAGACAAATCCATAGAGGGGAAAAAAAAAGATAGTACTTGTCAGGATGTGGGGGAAGGATTGGATAGTGCGGGGTTTCCTTTTGGGGTCATGGAAATGTTCTGGGATTAGATAGTGGTGATATTTGCACAATTACGAATATACTCCAAACCCCTGAATTGTGGGCTGGGTTGGGATTCCTCACAGCATGGTGACTGAGTTCCAAGGGCAGGCATCCCAAGAGAGAGCACCACCCTCGCAGAAGCTGTATGGCCCGTCTTCGCATCGCCCCAGAAGCTGCACAATGCTGCTTCCATGGTATCCTTATTGCCAAAGCAGCCAAAGCCGACCCAGTTTCCAGAGGAGTGAATAAACCACCTCCTGATGGGGAGTAACAAGATTCCCGAAGGGTATGTAGAACCAGGAATATTGCCCTGGCCATTTTTGGAAAGCACAATGTCTCACAGACA